AATAATTTGAATATTTACATAAAATTATTCTCAAATTTTAAATCATTATTTTAAAAGTATAACATATTTTTTATATATTATCGTAGTATCATAATTCATAACGATTATAGTCAGCTTTCGTAATATTTAATTTTTAAAAAGTATTTTAGTCACTTTAATAATATAATATGTGACTAATGAAAAGTATAGCGAATGAGTGTTGATCATTTTTGACGTATTTATTGCCACGTAAATATAATATTATGTGATTTTGCAGGCTTGAAGTTTTGAGGGGGAAAAAAAACAATTATTCCAATGCCGATTTTAAACTATTACGAGAAATTAATATTATATAAATAATATTTGATACTAGCACTAYATACACATTACACGTGCTTTCTTTACTTTTGTCATTAATTATATACCTATCAGAAGTAGGGTGGTACGTTTGTTCCTTTGAAGTTCTCGCTGTGCGCGCCTCGAGTCTTTTTGAGAAGCAGTGTGTGCGTGTAGATATGCTGCAATACGAATATGAACCACCAAAAGAACTGTGGCGGGCAGTACTGCTTGAATGAGCACTACTGCTATATTATAGGCCACTTTGATATCGGTTGAAGGCCATTTTTCCCGACAAGATTCGTATAAAACTACATGTTGAAATTTTAACGGTTCGACTACCTGAAATACAAAGACAGTGTAAGARAGTATAAAATAAATAATATAGATTTATATAATATGAGAGTAAATTTCGAATGCTTCTGTTATATCTATGCCAAAGCAGTGAGTGAGCTTTGAGTTAAATGACGTACATTCTTATTAATTTTCTTGGCGTGTGTATAATTTATGCTTCCAAAAAATATTATATTATTTTTCTTATAATTTATAAAATTATAACGTTTCACGTAAACTTGCGGTATCGAATCGATACTAACTATTATATTACATTATGATAACTTAGAGTTTCAAATTGAAATCCTTATGTATAGGTACCATCTGTGCGTATAGATCTTAAACCGATTAACTATCTATCCAAATCGATAATTTTTCTATTAGTCTAACCAGTGATACTCGTTTGCGCACAGTACACAATTTTTTACCTGTCAACTGACAACTCGTTCGCGTACATTGAAAAACGTGAAAATCCAGTTAATACAAATTTTGACCTGAAAAATGACGACTTGTTTGCGTACAGCTATTGAATTAGACTTATATTGTTACTTGTAGAGCAAATTTCGCTAAGATAGATACACATAATTGATTAACTATAGTAATGTGTGCATTATTGACGACCGCTGGATGTTACTATATGCCTATTATTTAGTMGAACGTGTGATGCTATCGAGATACCATATTAGTCATTTTATTTCGTGTAGTACCATGGACATTCAAATATCAAATGTTTTTGTAACGCACAGAGGAAAACGTTGTTTTAATATTGAAAACTATAAGTATAGTGAGTTTCGTGTTTTAAAATCAGGTAATCTGTTGTTAAGATGTAAGGAAAATGTTTGAAAACAATCTTAAACATTATTTTTGTTAAGGGTTTTAGTAGACTTTTGCTATAGTTTATGTAGGTACGCAAACGAGTCCTACGTTTTGGGTCATTTATCACAGATATTAAAAATTCGTGTGCGCAATCGAGTTGTACATTTGTACGCAAACGAGTCGCAAAAAAGGTTAAATGTACGCAAACGGGTATCGCCCAGTCTAACGTTTCCACATCGCGTATACCCRCGATATTTTCTGTAAACCATTAAACCAAACGATGTTTACCTGGTAATAAGCTACGGGCGACGTGGTCAAGACGGCCAGTAACCATACGATAGCTATGGACACGTAAACTGTACGCCTTTCGTTTTGCGCGGATCCGCGGACGATCACCCAGTATCGATCTATGGCTATCACCGTGATCGTGCCCACTGACACCATGATGTTGGTGCCCTGCAACAGTGGCACTAGTTTGCACAATACGGTGCCCATGGACCACTGGTGTCGCAATATCGATGTCAGCGTGAACGGCATGCACACCAAGCACAGAGTCATGTCGGAAACGGCCAAGTTAACTATGTACAGGTTCCGGGAAGTGTGCATCTGCGCACGCCTGGCGACCACGTAAATCACGGTCAGGTTGGCCGACAGCCCGACAATCATCAGACCCAAGTACACTATTATAAGCAGAGTCTGAAAACATAAAAAAAAATTTTTAARCACCATTGATATTCACCACGTCGTATCATCACACTATTGTTTCGGAATAACGTTACAGGTTGTTTACGATTCGTTCCGGCTTATGAACTTAACATAATATAGGTACCTACCCGTGTATTTCGATTATATTTTACGCTAGAAAGACGGTAATAATATAAATACACTGCACATACAAATGATATGTTTTGTTTTACAAAACTTACGCACGTCTACTTGAGAGAGTTTAACAGACCATGAAAACATTACTTTATAATATTATAAATCATAATCTTCAATRAACAATGATGTATACAGGGTGAATCACCAAAAGTACTCACCTCACATTTTTTTTCTTTTAATAATAATAAATGTCTTAATATAAGTATACTCAAGGACCATATTTTCAAATACTCGCCTCTGTTATGCTATTCAAAAAATGTCTTGTGGTTATAAATTCACTAACATTTTGTAATTTTTAAAAATTATCTATGTACCTATAATAAATACCAGACTAAATATTAMATGCATTTTATATTTTATACAACACCATTATTATCAACTAAATACTAATATCTTTAGTACATTAAGTGCATTACTCAATAACAATTAGTTCGAATTTTGATTAAGATTTATTACACCAAAGACATAATTTTTTAAAACTTCGTTTTATTAATAATTATTTACAGTTAAAGGTATAGGTGTTCTYGTTAAATAAAAAGACAAGTTTGTAATCACTACGAGATAATCTCTAAATGCTATAAAAAGCAATTTTTTCAAATTATTTTTTATAAAGTACTTAATTATTTCAGTTAAATATTAAAAGGGTGGTCATTATTCATTGATGATTCAAACTTTATATTATCATGGGCATATTGCAAAAAAAATAAAATTTGTATTTTAGCGACAGTGTGTCAATTGCGCTCCTTATTTTTAGTATCAAAATATTTATTGTACTTGCTTTTTTAGTTTTATTTTTATCTTTATATTTATTTATAATATATAATATAATAAAAATTTATGTACTGAAAATAATTACATTTATATTAAGTAACTAAAGCGCTATTGAATATAATAAATATCATATCGCTGTTATTTAGCGCATTCGATTGATCAACCCCGACAACGACCATTCTCGACATTAGTCTATCAACCCTGAATATTATCGAGCGCAATTGGTTTACCAACCCAGAAAATTACAGAATACAACACTGGTAAGCTTCGTATATTATACGAACACAGTCGACACGTTTTTCAATTCAACATGAAGTGTTGTAACTGTAAGACCTGCAATGCCGTGAAATATCAGATATTAAATGAAATATGTTGGTAAGTAGGTATGTATATAATGATATGATTATAAAAATTCTTCTGAAATAATCAAAAACCATGTTCGCACTCAAACACCCAAATATAAAAATTATATTTCACTGGTGTCATTTATATAATATCATTCAAAGTTAATTATTTAATTATCGAAAATAAAATAATTTAACCTCAACAGTTGATTATAAGCGCATGGGTTTAAGTTATATAATGCCCGTCAATCATAATAATCTTATTCTCGTGTGACTGCCGTTTATGACGTGCAATGTATAAAATAATTCAATTTAAGCGATAACCAAAGTTTTTGGTTGAAAAATGAAAAGTAACTAAACTAATATTTCAAAACTTAGATAATATACAATACAAAGAGATTAATTGGACTTAATTAAGATATCATCAAATATATTTTGAAAAATATAATCATTTTTTTTTGTACTCAATCAACTATTTAATATATAAGTTTCAATTTTCAATTCACTTTTATGTATATAATATACAATGTGATTTTTTGAGCATGATCGCCTCCATTCCACTCTTTAATAGTACATATTTTATTCAATTTCTCAGTTTTAGAATTTTTTAGTAGACTTAAAGGCAATATTTTCAAATTTCTGATATTTTTTGTGTATGGAGTAATCTTGTGGCGATTCCAACTTCTATTTTCAAATGAGAAGCCCCCCTTTTTTATTGAAAATTATTTAGTGTATAATTTTTTTGAGAATTTTTATGTATCTAAATCTAARATATTATTCGTGGGTACTTGAAACTTTTCAAGAATATTATTACTGATGAATTTGATATTATCCAATCAATATTAATTTTAATTCATCCTACCAGCTACCATATTAATAATAACAATATGAATATAATATAAACTATCCTAGGCCAATAGATTGTCTCCGCTCAGAATCGTTCATCGTATACAATGATATTATATCACTGAATTCAAATTTAACATTATTAATTATTGCAATAACCCATTTGTAACCTACTGTACTGCAAATCGTCGCCCACTTACCTAACAGCTTTCTTATTTCATAATATTGATTGAAACGTAATAATATGATCTACTGTCTACGATTTACTATTATTTACTTTGAGAATAAAATACATGTAAATAATAAAAAAAACAGCAAACAAATAGATATAAAATTAGACTGAATAGAATTGTAAAATGTGTAAGCGATTAATTTAATAAATTTAAACTCTTAAACTTTTGGGATTTTATATACATTTTTAAAATAATGAAAAAACTGTCTCTAATAATTTTTCACACAAACTTTCCAAACACTAAACAAAACTATAAGTAGTCAGATGCTTCACAATTAAATTATAGATAAGTAAAAACTCGTAAAAAGTTATTTTGTAATCTGAATTAGATTTTAAATTGAAATAACGGTATTTTTTATGAATTTTTAAAAATATAAATTTATTGTTCAGAGTTTTATTTCATTTTTAGCAATAGATGTATTTTTAATTACCTACTCAGATTAAATATTTTAACACTGTTAATATTGTCTGAATATTATTTTTATTGCTAATTGGCTTATTATTTCAAAGCAAAGTCATTTTTATTTCAATTGCAAATCAAATTCAAAACTTAAATTGTATTATTGCGCATTTCAATTTAAATAGAATCTTATAAATAATAATATTTAAATTAAACAAGAAAATAAATTTCAATTTCAATATAAAACATAATTATGAAAATGTGGGTAAGAGGGTAACGCTCTGTTGTACATTAATTATCTGGAGAGTCACTGTAATGGCTGTGTTAAATTTAAATTCAATAATCATTACATACGAAAAACAATTCTGAGCGTAGATGGTCTGTCATTCTACTATAATATGTATATTGTTATTTTTTTTTTAATGATCATTTAATATTTTAATGCATCGACATCTAAGGTCATTAGTATAAATTTTGTTATAATAGGTGTTATTTAAATTATTTTTTTAAATTAAATTATATAATTCTATTTTTTTTAAGAATACATTTCAAATTTCGAAAGTATAGATTTCGATCCTGGATATATTTTTAGATGTGTTTGACTTTAAGAGGAGCTTTATATGTGTCGCATACAGGAGGTTCGTCTTTACTCATCAAGTAGTTGTGGATTCAGTATGTGTGGCCAATTTGGAGTCGGTTTCTTATTGTTTCTTCTTTTCTATTGAGTTCCGGGCTCTTTCATAGGTTGATTTTTTTTTTTAAATTTTGTTGAGTTTAGTGTTGAGTTTTGGCCATTGAGAGTGCCATTGATTATTTGTGTGGGTGTTGATTTTGTTCTTGGCGTCAGCGAATATGATGAAGTTTGTAGTTGTGGATATTATATTGTTAAGTAAATTGCATGATACTAAGTTGATTAAGTTAGTTTATTTTACTAATAGGCAATTAACATTAGGTTAAATTAATTTTTTTCAAAAAAAAAAAAAAAATGCATTTTAAATATTATTATGTATGTAAACTGTTTATAATATAATATAATAATGTACTCTAAAACTTTGAAGTATCCAYGAATAATATTTTTAAATTACAGCAAAATAACTAAAATCGTCATTCTTGGTTTTAATATGTTATTTCATCCAAATTTGAAATTAAAATACTTATAAAAAAAATCATTCTTATAAATCTTAATATTTATCAAGTATCAAAATAAGGAACATTGTAATAGATTTGTAAGATTTTTGAACCAACGAGTTAAATATAATTGACATTTATAGATAAAAGACTACAAAAATTAAAGATTGAAAATGTCTTTAAATAGATCCAAACAAGTCAAAATGGTTGAAAATATTATCATGTATAGAAAATGATAAATTAAACATTTGATGAAAATTTAAACTAACTAAGGTTATTAGTTTTTGAATAACAATAATTAAGAAAATCGTTGTATGAGAATTTGTTGATATACAGGTAAATATCCAATTTTTAATATCAAATATTAGTAAAAATTAATTATACTTTTCCAGTGAATCTTTTTTTTTTTGTTTTTGAATGTAAGAATTAAATCAAGAGCAATCTTTTAATCAATTTTCAAAGCTAAATATAATTATTATTTTTTTTTTTATTAAAGAAATAACGCTCGACAACTTGGCAATTTAGATAAAATAAATTTTTTATTTTATTATTATTTTTATGAATATCTAACTTGAAATAATTCGTCAATTTTTTGGAAGGAACTGCAATTGCAATAATCCAGCCAAACTCCCAAACAGCATTTCAAATTCCATCGTACAACTCAATCTATACAGCATAATACCTGGCTCTTTTAAAAGCCACAGAATTAGCTGCCTCCTCGGATATCCAATCTTCAATCATATTCACAGACTCTCTCAGTGCCCTCACAAACTTAGCAAATCCACAAAAAAAACAACCCAATAGGCAACCTAATATTAAACATTATATTCTTATCTAAAAAAGACATCAGATTTCTATAGGTACCTGGACACAACAACATACCTGGTAACGAAATTGCAGACGAAATAGCCAAAAGAGCAACGAAAGAACCAACTGATTTCTGGAATATAACAACACATTTAGATACAAAACTCCATATAGGTAAACACTAACCTTGACCAAATCTGCCTTCAAGAATGGAGATCAGTACGAAACAACAAGCTAAGAGAAATAAAATCATCCMCCCTCCCTTGGTTGCCTAACACATCACTCCCGCGTAGACATCAAATCGTACTCAACAGATTACGAATTGGCCACACACGTTACACTCATGAACATCTAATGAGCAAAAAAGAACAACCTATATACACCTCATGCAACACCGTGACTACTGTCAAACACCTTCTAACAGAATGCCTCCTCACAAAAGATGCCAGAGAAAAGCTCATGCTCCCCAATAACCTATGTGAAATACTAGCACCAAACATGGAAAGAACACCTTCACTCCTAGAACTTCTCAAAGAAACGAACCTTCTACAAAAAATATAACTATATATTTTTTGATATCATATTATTTATCTTATATACTTTTCTTCTTTATACTCTAGTATCATTATGTAAATATAATTAAACTGTAACATGTATATCTTAAACGCCAATAACCCTGGTAGTTGAGGCGTATTTCTAAATAAAAAAAAAAAATTCGTCAATTAAGCCAAAATTTTAAATTTAAACGCTCATGAAAAATTACAATGAACTATTGTTTAACTTTTTTTTTAAATATCAGCAACAACTTAAAAGAAACTTTGTTTTACATTTTCTAGTTTTTCGTCAGAGAAAAAAATTGACATCGGAAAATATTAAATATTAAACTGGACATTTTCAGTCACATATTTCAAAAATTTTACGGTGCATAGAAAACGCTATTATAAATATTTTTCTAGAATTTTATGTATTTACAGTTATTTTTTTTTGGGTTACATTAAAAAACAAAATAAATAAAGACTTGTCTTAAGATTCCAGTTTGTTTGTTTTTTCTAATGCTTTTTAAAACTATTGAGAGTTAATAATTTAATGCTAAATGCACTTTTCTACCAGAATAGAATGATGTTGAAGAAAATCAATTATTTTTAGTGTACCAAAACGTGATAACAGACACACCCATACACAAAACACACATCATCGTAAAATCAATACGTTCATACTCTGCTTGAATCTAAGATAATGAGTTGAAAAATATTTAAATACAGTAAAAGCAATGTTATTGCTATTATTACCATACTGTTTTGGGAATCAGTACCAAAACAAGTAATAGATATCATTAGCATTGTTTATTTTTTGATTTATTAAAACAAAAAACTTAATAATTACCTCAGTACTTTTGTCCAAATTTCGGGAATCACGCCTATGTTCCAACAAAATAGAATACACTTCTTCCAAACTGAAATTAAACKTTGAGTTCATTTCTGTGTCATTACAGGTTTCCATAAATGTACTCATTGTTTCATCCAGCGAGCAAACCATTGAAACATTGTTCGATGGATATTTTAATCCTGGAAATGAATAAATTAAATATCCAATGGTGTTATTATTCTATGYTTTTTCTCTTTTGTATATTTAAAATATTTTATTCAAAGATCTATGTTGATGAATGGTAATAGTTGGACGTTTATCCAAGAAGTTATTCATCAGAAAAAAAAAATATACTTAGGTACTAGGTATACAGTATTATAAACTGTATGATTAGATGGATCGAAGTAATAATTTATAAAATATATAATATGTGCACAATATAGTATTTCAGAATTTAGTGCAGGTAAATACAGTTATTGTACAGTATTTAAAGTATTTAAATTTTTTACATTGTGTTTCCTTCAAAATTTTAAAGTTGTCCGTGTTATTCTCATCTTACTGCCCAAATCTATCCACATACTTTTTCAAATCCGTCATAGATTTTAATTTTATAGTAGATACTGCATTATATAACACGTAATATATGATTAATATTTAGGTAGGTACTATTTGCTTTCAGATTAGGCAATTTATAATAGAGATATAAGTAATAGCAATCGATAAATGATAAGTACCTATTTATCTGTGGAAAATATTATTATATTTTAGAAAATGTTATATTTTTCAATTATACGCTATCATTTCATAAAACTTGTTCCTCGTTAGTTATACTTATTTTAGGATGATTTTATACATTTTTTAACTACAGTAACAATAATTTGGTACACATTATTGGTTTCAAATTATTTTATTATTATTATATTGCACTAATACATGGTATATAATATGATTTATACAAAAATAAAGTGTTATAATTTTTAATTCAACTAAAAAGATACATTTTATTCACTAAAATTGAACGTTTAGAAAATTAATAACTATAGAAACCTTTCAATTATATAATATAATAAACGTCAAACAAATATTTTTTTTAAACAGCTCGTTTAATGTTGGTTTTAACTGTTTATATGATTGATTATACTTGATATTAAAATATAATTAAATATCACCCTCAGTTTTGGGATTATAATATAACCTTGTCATTAAATTTATCACATTTTAAATATTTAACATCTTTTTTATACAAGATTTATTTTTCAAAGTTAAATAAACTGTTTTGGAGATGGTTGCTATAAAGTTTAAGAAAACGTTTTACATAAATATATACATTCATATTTTGTTATTTCTGTCTTATACACATATGACGCATAATATACAAAATGTTTGTTATTAAAGTAAATTTATTTGTTATTTTTAAAAGCAATAGGTTATAAGTATAATATTTAAATTGTTGTACATCCTCTTAAGGTATTATTTAATTATATAAACTATTATTTTATATTAATTAGTGATTAAGTATACCTATTATTTAAATTAATTATTACCTATATAACTATTTTTTATTATTATTTTTTTTTTTTAATTATCCCGCGGTTCCTGGGTGTTATCAATGGATAACTTCCCAATCTTAATATTCGCCGTCATTTTATATTATCTTCTTTTTTTTTATCAAATCTAATTATTGTACAAAAATTTGTATAGATTGTAGACGTATTTTAAATAAAAAAAAAAAATATATCCCGCGGCAACTAAGGCCATTTGGAAGGGGGTAGTACTGTAGTTTTTTTTATGGAACGGTAGGTTGGTTTACACGTTGGAGATAGTTTTGGCAGAATTTCTATTGGGGCACCCGTAGGTTACTTCCATGCCCCGGAGTGGGGGTTGGCGGCACTTGTTCTCCGGGCACCGTGACTTGCCCGGAGAAAAATGTATAACTATTTTTGTCATAATATATAGGGTATAACAGGTCTATCTGACTAATGCTGTAGGTAACTTTTATTTTTATCTTATTTTTTTACAACTGAAATAAAATAATTAAAATTTTGTATTAAATTTTTTCCTTATAATCCAAGATAGCTATTTTATAAATAAGTATTTAAAAATAGTTTAGGCGTTTAAAACTTTTAATTTGGTCACATCATTTATGTTTAAAGCAATTTCAAAATGTGTTAAAATTCAAATTTATTTCTTGTTAATCAGTGTTTTGTTATCATTAAAAGGTAGGTAATCAATAATCAATACTTATATTTTATCATTATTTAACATAAATACGTAATGCATACCACCACCATTAGTGAAATGGACCTGTTACACTCTGTATAATATGTTACTATAATTTATAATTATATAAAAACTATTAGGTTTTGTGTATACTATAGTCTCGTGTATTATTTTCTGTACTTAGTATAATATTAAAACTATTTTAATAAAATATAGTCACAAAACTCGTTATGGAAATAATAAAATAGTAAATAAAGAAGTATGTCAACTATTATTTCAACTGTTTTCATGAAAACATTAAATTTAAATTATTATAAATTGTAATTTGAACTAATTTATACCATAGAATAAACGTAGAATTAAATGTGGATTTGAGTTGAGTTCGCAATTATTGCTCTAAATAAAACGAATTAGTAAAACGTTGTATTTACTACATAATCATGATAATCCTTTCATATTATCTGTGTATATAATATTATTATTAGATATTTAGATGTATAACATAAATTATACTATGGAATTTAACGAAACTATTTTTTTAAACTATTTTCTAACCAGATATATGATATCGTTGCAATAGTAAAGTGAAAAAAWAWWWWT